CCAATAAATCAGAACCACTGCAACCAGGGTCCAGGAAATCAGTTTATTTATTTATTTAGAAATCAAGTTTTAAGACGTTCAGGTGTTTCTAAGATGACTAAAGCACATGGCCAAGACTGATACCAACTGTTTTAAGGGGCTACGCTTCTCTCAGCAGCGGTGACTGGCACATTGTCATGCACTTCCTTTACGGGCTACCCAGACCTCAGGCGTGGCTCTGTGACTCGTCCTCTTCAGTTCATTCTGCTGTCTCCTCATTGTTGTCGGAGCCCTGTGCCTGATCTTCCCCTCTTTCTCCTTGCTTTTTTTCTTCCCCCTTTCTTCCCTCATTTCAATCTTCTTCTCTTCTCCCAGGTGCTAAGTGATTAATTATTTATAAACACTGCTGTACATGCACCCATTTTTAACCTAATTGGTAGCGTGTTCTCCATCTTGCTCCAGTTTCTTTTCTTTCATTCAGTGTTACGCCTCAAGAGCTACCTGCATGTGGGTGAATATCTCCTTCATAGCAGCCCACTGTTTCTTCTGTTAGGTTTTGCTCACCTGCCTCTGAAGACGCCAGATCTTTACAACACTGATACATTTTGCAACTGGGAATTAAGAATTGTCAATATGGGAAGGAACACAAAGGAAAGAAGCAACCTTGTTCCTCACTCACACCCTATCTGAACAGTATTTGAGAAAAGTGAGTGCTCCAAGACGACAAATGCCACAAATCTGAGGGGGGGGGGGGAACACCTAAAAATGATACTTTCCTTTCCTGAAAGATTGGCTCTAGGTTTACTGTCACTATATAAATGTCATGTCAATTTAACTTCTTTACAGCTAAAATCTCAGTCTCCACTAATCGGTGTAGAAGTCTGAAGACACATTTAAAGTTCCGACTGTCAAGAGGAACCTGATTTTATAAACCGCCAGCAGCTCCATTCCAGACCTGGCTCTGGAGTAGGCTGAGTGCGGAGAACAGGCTGGTGTGTGTTCCGACAAGCAAGGTCACAACCACAAGAAGGAAAATCCAGCTGGAGTCAATAAAACCTTCCTTGGGTGCCAGGGTTGCCCGAAAGCCACAGTATCAGATGGCCAGGGTGTTCCTGGTCCTCCCTCCAAACTGTGCTCAAGGGCTCCGTGCAGACAATTAATTACAGACAAACCAGCAGGGTGACTCCAAGTGCCCATTAGAGACCAGAGAACAAATTTTCTTGTTATCCAAAAGTCTCTGAAATGCCATTCACACAAATTATGTAGATTTGATTACTAATATAATTACATTTGGGTAATGCTTTCCTTATGGGTTTTAGAGGTATATTTTTATTTTCCCCAAAATGAGTACAGAATGAGATTATAGCTCCTTCAGTCAGAGAAAATCTTCACCCTAAATGGAAACATACTTCTAAAAGCAGGAGAAAGGAGATGCAGGTGTTTATAATTTAGGGAGAAGAACTAATCTCAGTCTTTAATTCTATTGCAGTTTCAAGATAATGTCAAGCAAAGAAAGAAGGCAGGTTGTGGAAAAGAGGCTTTTGGGCAGCCCCGCAGCACTCCGTGTTCTCACATGTTCTACTATATGTGGAGACCTTCATGCCGGGCTGCCCACACACACATGTGGCTCCAGCAGGACCGGCTGCCGGACACCTGAGTGTGGCCAACATCTGTTTCCTTCTAAGAATGCAATCAACTGGAAGATGTTGCATCCTACTATCTAGATGGTCCCTCCCAGAGCCCACAGCTTCTCTTCTGTCTTCTGGGTCCAAATGGCAACATCCGTCTGAATAACTGGGTATGAAAATCAGGGATAAACTAAAAAGAGAGAATGATCATTTCTCCACAGTAAAAGCTGCCCCCATCTCCTCTGGGGTCCAGAAGAGATGCTGTCTGCCTTGGCTCTGTGGCCCACCTGCCTCTGAGGTGACAGACGTCAGCTTCTGAGTGTCACACTCAGGTCTGCCCACCTGCTCTGGACACACTTTGTTCCCTGTGACCATTCAGTCGCATGTATGGCGTCATTACCGGTGGGACTGGGAAAGCTACAAGGGACAGCTAGTGCGCTGCACCCTCTGCAGGGGCACTGTGAACGTTTAGACTTAGGTTCTGACACAACAAATATCCCCCATGTCCTCTCAATGCCAGGCACTGGGCTGTCTGTGTGAACACAAGTCATCTCATTTTATCCCTCAAAGGAGAAACTGAGGCTAAGAGATGGGGCTAATTAGACCCTGGCAGTGTGTGAAGTGCCAGTGTTCCCCACAAAATTGCTTGCCTTCTCCTTTTAGGGGAAGCCTAAATCCTAGAAGGCAGAGGCCTGGCCTGCATGCTCTTAGGAACCTCACCTCAGCTGAGGAGTCTCCTTGACGTAACTGCAGTTCAGGACAAAGCCAGAACTCTAGCTCTGTTGCTGACAACCTGAGGTGGTACATTCCCTGTAATTTTGGAGGGAAGCAGGGAGCCGGCGCTGGCCAGGCTGGACTGATGGAGGCCAATCTATTGTAGCTCTTCACACATGACCATCCCTGCAACAGTGCAACCTGACGCAGGGGCAGTGGGTGGCTCCAGGAACACTCAGAGGTGAAGTCATCAGAGCATGATGCTGGTACCCAATAGATCTGGACGCCCACTGTCCTGCTCACAGGTCCAACAACCATGAGTAACTTCTGTTCCTTTCTAAGGTTCCATTTTACTCATGCATAAAACACAGGGGGCAACATGCAGGAGACTTTTCTTGCGATTTGTGAAGAATAAATGCAATAGTCCTGCCTGACACAGAGCTTGCCATGACCTACATGCCTAGGAGTCTTGGCAAGCAGCAGCCCACACCACCTGAAATTTCTTGTGATTCATGCCTTCTAGGTTGTCCTCACTCACAACCTGTTACTCCTCTATTTCCAAGTTCAGTTCAGTTTCAGAACACACAAGTTATTTTAACCAAGGCTGTGGTACCCCATTTGCTCCAGGAGTTCACCATTTTTTTTTTTGCACTGAAGGGCTAATTATCTACTGAAAAGACATCTTGTAGCATGTGTGGAGCTCTGGGTCACACCTGCAAATAAATTCAATGACCTGTGAAACCCTTTAATTAAGCGGTGGTAAGCAGGTCTTTGCCCTTGTTAATCAGAACCAGCAAGGCCACAAACTCAAAGTCACTTGATCACTCTGCCTCTCAGAAGTTCCATGTAAAATTAAAGAGTGCACATTTTAAGGACACTTGAGAAGAAAACACATGCAAACATGTTACCAGCTTTGGACTGAAGGTAAAAGGTATTTTCCAAACTCAATTTTCCCCCTTGCCTTCAGGAATAAAAGCAAAGCACATTCATTAATGTACTTCAGGCTTCTGAGCAAGGTGCCCTGTGGTTAACTTTGCTGTTTTACAATGCTAGAGATTGAACCCAGGCCCTCCCCCACTGAACTACATCCCCAACCATTTTAAAGCATGTTTCATATATTTGGTACAGGGTCTCAGTACACAGCTTGGACTTGTAGTGATCCTGTTTTCAGCCTCCCCAACACTTGGATAACAGGCATGTGCCACCATTCCTGGTCTTGGTGGCCAGCTCAGCATGCTCAGCGGTGGAGCTAGCATGGCATGCAGTGCCAGGGATTGAACCCGGGTCCCTGTGCTTGCCTAAGCAGGTGCTTAGTCTGCTGAGCTATCTCACCAGCCCTCTTTTAAAGCAGATTTATTCTTGTTAAGTTGGTAAGGCGCCCAGGCTAGGTTCAAATTTGCTCTCCTCCTGCCTCTGCCTCTCAGAGTGCTGCGACGATAGGTGTGCACACCACCAAGCCCAGAGACCACATCTATCTGAAAGCTCATTTCAAAAATGCCCATGTAATTTCTAACTCTGAGCTCAAACTATCCAGGAATAAAGTCTGTGCCTCACCTCCTCCACATGTCACAGTGCAGGGAAAGAAGTCAGTTTGTCTCCACTGGTGACTGATGGGCTGGTAAAAGAAGAACTGGACCACGCTGTCTTTGGCCACCGTGTACCTGGTCTGGACAGAGAGAACTATGACACAAACATCTGCATAAAGTGAGCAGGCGGAATCCACACCTTCTGAAATGCCATCAATGTTCTTTCCTTACATCTGCCCTCATGGATCACAAACACATCATTCCAGCATAGCAGGATTCCGAGCATTGGAAGGCACAATAGCATGTCACTTTGACTTGTCAAAACTAAGGGCTTAGAGGACTCTCGGCAAATCCCCCTGGGATGATTTTTCCAGGTAATTCCATGCCTGTGAATGCATTTACAAAAATGAATGTGGATGATTTTGTTCGCTTATTTGACAGGTTTTTTCCTTCCTTACACATTTGATTTTAATTTCCAAGAGAACAGAGATTGAGACCTAGTCAGGCTTTGCTGACCACAGTGCACATACTTGGAATTCTTAGATTTTCAGTAATAACATCTTTAAACAGCTCTTCCTGAAAACTCTTCTAGAGGCACACATGGGAAAACCCACTCCAGAGCACATAAATTCACAGGTATACACAGAGACCACTCATGGACAGAAAGCTATCCAGTGTGCAGAGTTCAGTGCTACTCAGAGTGAATCAACATTGCAGACTGTGGCAGGTTCTCTACCTACTTTTTCCTTTTCTTCTGTTGACTGAACATATGAATGAACTATTGAAAACTCCCAGGGTGTAGCATAAAGAGAAGAAGAAATACAAAAATTAAGCTCTCAGAGCATAGATCCAGAAGTGCCAGCACACACGTGGAGCTCAAGACTAGATATCTGAAAATCCCCAAGGAAGCAGTTTTAATTGTTTTTTTTCCACAGACAAATAATAAGTACATACAGTAATGAAGACACTATATAGATCAATTTAGCCACTCCACAATGTATGCGTACTTCCAAACCTCATGTTGTTCACTGTAAGTATATATGATTTTCATTTGTCAATTTAAAAAACTTAAAAAAATCATTCTGAGTATATTGGTTCTGCCTATTCATGAATAGGGGTATCTTCCCTTCTGATATGCTCTCAAGGAAAACTACTTTCCTTGTGTCCTGTAAGTCCCAAGTAAGAGACCTCTACAGTTTTCACTGTAGAGGTCTCTTACTTCTCTGGTTAGGTTGATTCATAAGTGTTTCACTTTTCTTGATGCTATTATGAAAGGTATTGTTTTATCTCTCCTGAGTTTCATCTCTCACAATTCATCTCTCCTGATTTAGTTATTGGTCTACAGGCTGCTAATTTTTGAGGGTTGACTTTGTATTTTGATATGCTACTGAATTTTGTTATGAATTCTAGGAGGCTTTTGGTGGAGTTTTGGGGGGTATTCTGTCTAGAAGATCATATTATCTACAAATAATGATAATTTAACTTTTTTCCTTTCCTATTAATAGCCCTTTTATTTCTCATACCTGACTGTACTAACTAAAGTTTCAAAAGCTATACTGAACAGGGCTGGTGACAGTGGGTATCTTTGTCTTGTTTCTGATTTTAAATGGAAAGATTTCAGTTTCTCTCCATTTGATATGATGTTGGCTGCTAGGTTTTTGTTGTTGTTTGTTTTTTGTTTGTTTGTTTGTTTGTTTTTGTGGTACCAGGGATTGAACTCAGGGCCTTGTGCTTGACAGGCAAATGCTTACTCTACTGAGCTATCTCCCTAGCCCTGGCTGCTGGTTTGTCATAGGTACCTTTTTATCAGTTTAAGACAAAGACCTTCTATTTATATTTTCTTTGGGCTTTTACCATGAATAGAGGTTGGATTTTATTGAATGCTTTTTCCACATCTACTAAGATGATCATGTAATTTTTTATTTGTTTCTGTTTATATGGTGTATTGCCCTATTGATTTGCATGTTGAGGCATCCGTGCATCCCTGAGATGAAGCCTACTCAATCACAATATATAATCTTTTTGATGATATGTTATGATAGGTCATGACAAAGTTTCCCAGGCACCCTACCCCCAAACTCTCTCCCCCTTGGCCCCAGGCAGAGCCAATC